CTCCTGCCCCGCCCCGACGCCCCTTGTCCCCACACCAAGACCAAGCCGCCTTACCCCGCGACCCACGATCGGAACAAGGTTGACGCCTCTGTAAGCAAGGTGCCTCATGGGCAATCGCATGTTGCTGGTGATGGTTACCTTGCTGCACTTGCTGCGCGCCGACCGCCCTGGAATAGGTCTGCTGGTTGTAGAGCTGCTGATCCACCTGCGCCTGCTGGGCGTACGCCTGTGGTGCCTGCTGCTCCCACCAGACCTGCTGCGCGTGCAGCTGCTGGTCCTGCTGCTGCAGCTGCTGGGCGTACGCCTGGAGGCGCTGCATGTCGCGCAGGTGCTGTCGCCGCCGCTGCCGGGCCGCTGCCTCCTGCTGCTGCTGCAGCAGGTGCAGGTCGAGTAGCCGCAGGTAGGCGGTGGCGCGCTGCTCCTGCTGCAGTGTCTCCTGCTGGCTGCGGCGCAGCTGCAGCACGTGGTGCATGAGCGGGACGCGGCGCGACAGCAGGTCGCGGTACTGCTGCAGCGTCTGGCCCTCGTCCACCTCCGGCTCGAGCTCCTGCGCCAAGACGGTCCGCGGCACGATGTCGGTTAGTTCGACGTCCTCCTGGTTCGCGGGTTCCAGCTCGGTCCCTACCCTGGACCCGGCTGTCGTGCTGTCGTTGGTGGGGAGGTTGTCGCCCTCCAAACCTCTCGCGGCCAGGTTGGGCAGCAGTGCGTCCTGCTTGTCGTCCTCGTTCAGCTGCGTCCAGGACACCACGCTCTCGGGGTCAGCCTCGTCGTGCGAGAGTTGATCAAGCTGCCGTCCGGCCTGGACCGGTTCATTGTCGACCCCTTTTACCCCGTCATACACCTGCTCCTGGGCGGGGTGGCCGTCAGCGACCCCTTCAGGCACCTTGTCCTCTGCGGGGAGGTCCTCGTCGACCCCATCGGCGGCCTGCTCCTGTTCTAGTGTCTCCGGGTGGGTCAGGAACCACAGCAGGAGCTGTCGAGCCAACTCGTTGTCGGCAGCCTCGTCAAGCTGCTCCCGCGGCTGTGAAGCGTTTTCAGTTGCCAACAGGTCGTGGAGAGTGGAGTCGTCTAATGCCATCCCCTCCTGTGCAGTTCCTGCAAATAGTGTCATTTTAAATACAAGTCTTACGCGACAGTGACAACTCTACCTCCAGCACCTCCAAACTCACCCTGTCCGCCCCCAGCGACTGCCGCGTCCTGTCCCTCCTGCAGCTCGTCATACGCTGCCTTGAGCGCGTCCGTCACCTGCACACGCTTCTCCAGCTCGCGCTGGGCCTCCGCCACGTTGGCGAGGCGCATCAAAAGCAGCAGGTGCTTGGCAGTTTCGACTCCGCCCTGGTCCTCTCCCTGGACGACCGGCACAACCTCCTGGCCCACTGCCTCCCCGACCCCCGTGTCGACTGACACGCTCACCACGTGGATCTCCTTCTGACCGACGGCGGGCTCGGCGACCATCTCGGCGACAGCAGCGGGGAGTTCTTCTTGACTCGCGGCCGGGGCCGTCTCCGGGGGAGGCTCGTCGACCATCCTAACGACAATGGGGCCATGCACGGCCGCCGGCGCAGGAGCGTCGTCAATGACATGGCTGGGCCCATCAACCCCTTCCAGACTCAGGGGGGCGGGCGCGTCCTCCAGAGGCGGGGTGTTCCCTGCTACGGCTGTCACTTTCACTGCGGGCGGCTCGTAAGCCGAGGCGGGCCCGTGGTCGTGGTTGTCCTGGTCGGCGTCACGGATGTCGTCCGTGTAGGTTTCCTCTCCCACGCCTGCGGACTGAGCGTAAGCGCACTGTTCTCGACAAGGGGCGGTAAGTACAGGCACCGGCGCGCTACTCACCCTGAACGAGCGCTGCGGCCGCTGGCGCTGGCGCCGCTGGCAGCAGCTGCTGCAACCTGCTGCGCGCGGCCTGGCCGCGGAGGATGGCGCTGCCGGCGTACGCGATGAGCGCCAGGCCGAAGATGAAGCACGCCACGCAGAGGAGGCACTTGAAGATGCCGGCGGGCGACTGCTGCATGAGCAGCAGCGGCTTCTTGGCCGGCTTGGGCTCCGGGTGCTGCTGCCCGAGCCATGGGTACTCCGGCGTGTAGCCCCGGCTGACGGTGAACGGCGCTGGGAGCTTCCTCTTCATGTCGATGCGGAGGAAGCTCGGTCTCTTGGGCGGAACACCCCCTAGAGGCTTCACCATTTTATGGCTGTGTGCGGCTACGCGCGCTGTGCACACGGCTGCACCACAACCCCCACGGCCTGGACAGGGTGGGGGGATCCTCCACTTCCGTGCTTCCGGTCCGCGTATCACTGCAGAAAGTGCCGGGGGGGCTAGGGGGCGGTCGACGAGACGCGACACGACGACCGGCGGGCTCCTCGCTGCACTCACCCTCTCGCGGCACGACTAAAGGCGGGCGCGGGCCGGTATCGCGGAGCCCGGGGCGGCCCGGGGGGCCCCGCCCGGAGCGAGCGTGCGTCTGTCGCCGCGGCGCGGCACGAGTCATCGCTCTATCACGGTCCCGGGCACGCACGCGCCCCGAGGTGATGCTCACCATGTTTACTAACACGCCCGCCCCCGCCGCGTGCGATTACCCGCGTGTTGTGCTGAGTCGGCGCGGAGCGGGCGGGAGGAGAGGGGGGGGGG